AAAAAAAAAAAAGAAAGAAAATGAACGCTAATGTATAATGTCACATGTATGAAAAACACACCTTTGGTTTAATGTCCAGGAGCCAGTTCCGTCCTATATTAAGGGTCATCTTGGGTATAAATGGTAGCTTGTGGGCTTCCTAGAGCCAATTGTCGGTTTGTGTATTTGAGGAACGTGATTCCCTGTCATGTGTCTGTTAGAACGCGGTGTTGCCTTAGCAGGCAACAGAGTTGATTATTAAGATAGGCCTTCCTGCTGCTTTCGAAACAGACTTCTGAAAGTTACTTACCAATTTTGAGATAAGCTGTAGTAGGAACATTTTTTTTCTTAGTTTATTCATTCTTTGATCTTCCTTGTAGGTTGGGATAATTCTTCACTATTCCACCCTTGCCACAGTACTATGGGTAGGAGTGACAGCTCGAAATATCTACAAACAAGTCACTAAAAAAGCTAAAAGATGCCAGGATCCTGATGAACCACCACCCCCACCAAGACCAATGCTCAGGTATCTCCTATCTTTGTTGTATTATCTTAAGGGTCAATTAAGTGTTTTCTCTGCTTTCATTGAAGCATAATCGTAAATTATAACAAAATTGCTGAGTGAATTTTGGGAAGTAAAAGAACGGACTTGTACGCAGGACCTGCCTGGTTTTGAAAATGACTTTGGCTTTGAAAATGGCTTAGGCATCCTTCCAGCGGCGAGTCCTCAGTCAACTTCTGTACCCTCTCTGAGCCTTCCAAGATCATCTCAGAAGTGGGGCTGATTCTCCCATCCTCGAGTTGTGAGGAATAAATGAGTAAATGGGCAAAGCACTTACGATGGGATCGGCCATGTCATAGGCCCTATGAAACTGTCAGCTGTTTTTATTTCCTTGAGGTCATAATCTCAAGTATGTATCAATTTAATTATTCTGTGCAAAGGACAAAAAGACTTGTAATATGTCTTTCCTATCCATTGTAATATGAAAAATGGTGAATGATCATGCTGGATGAGTAAAATCTATCAGTGATGACCAAGCCTGTTGAATGCCTGATATGTCACTGGCCCTGGGCCAGGGATTTAGAGAAGACCCCCTTGCCCTTTGGGAGTTTATAGTCTGCAGGAGGAGATAGGCGTGAGCACTGACTGTGCTGTGTGAGAAGCATAGTGGAGATAAGTTATTTGAAAATGTAAAGCAAGAAGCCATTAATTTTGGGGGTGGGAGGTTATTAGGAAATGCTGGGCCACTGGCATGAACCTTACTGTGATCAGGGCAAAGTGTAAAAGTGAAGAGTGAGCTGAGGAAACCTTGAGGAGTGCAGTTTGGCTGGAACCTCAGGTGTTTGGTGTCAAGTAGCAGGAATTCAGGATGGAAGCTGGCTTTGAGTCCTCTGTGGGTCCTATTTAAAATGTGGGCAGCCACTGAAGACTTTTAACTAAGGGAGTGGCCTGACACAGTGTCATTTTAGAAGGTAGCTATCGCTCTAGTATGGAGTACAAATCAGAATCCCCAAGAATAAGGAATTCTGCTGAGGTTATTAGGGTAGCCCCCATGAAGACCAGAACAGTGTCGTGGAGAACAGAGAGGAGGACCCAGGTTTGAGAGGCTTGAAGCAGTTTCTCTAGGACTGATGTCCAGCTGGATTTAAGACATGTGTGAGGGAGAGAAATTTGAAGAAGACTACGAATTCTCTATTCTAGCTAGCTAGCATGCCTTGACAGAGGGTGTTTCCATCAACTGAGAAATAAGATAGGAAAAGCAGAAAGGGCAGGTGGGTGGAGGAGACGTGGAGAGGGGAAACGGGGTGGTAGGCTCATCAATACTTTCTTGTGGAATGTTTACATTTTTAGAAGTCCAGGGCTCAGCAGAGAGGACAAGCTAGAGATTATGTAGGAGGAGCAGGAGACATTTCCTTACGTTATTCATTATCATTGAAGCCATGATAATGAATAGGATCTCCCAGGGGGAAGTTAAGAAAAGATTGATACTTGGACCATACTAGTGTTTAATAGATGGGTTGTGGAAAAAAATCACTGGATTTTTGGCTACAGAAAGAGAACACCCGAGGCCATGGAGGATTTGGGGGACAGTGGTTCCGTGTTCGACAAGGAGCAGCAGGGGTGCTCAGTGGCCCCAGAGTTAAATTGTAGGATGAGATTTGACACCTCCCTCACTTCTATTAAGAGAAATGAGAGATGATGGTGTTTGGCTCAGACACTTGGGAATCTGAAACTTGGGAACCTTAAGGAGCTGTTCCTTCCTGTAAGGTTCTGAGAACAAAGATACAAGAGTAAAGGAAAAGGCAGCTTGGGCTTCAAACTCTCTGCATTCCCCAAATGACACACAAGTATCCTCTTTGCATTAGACTGCTCAAGCTCTGCCCTCTAACCCTGCTTTCCCCATCTCGTTTAGCTTAAGGAAGCCTGGGCAACACTGCCGTCTGGAGGGTGGGACATGGGATTTGCCCATGAGACTCATCTGACCCCACAAAGGACATTTTTAGCATCATGGTAGTGAGTGGGTACAGCCAACAATAAGGTGATAAAGGCAAGGAAGTCGTGGTACTAGTGTTTGCAGAAGGAAGAGAGAAAATAAATGGTAGTTCAAGGAAAGTTTTAGAAGGTGGGGAAACTTGAATATATATATGTGTGTGTGTGTATATAGGCTGGAAATATAGGCTCTATATATATATATATAGGCTGGAAATATATAGGCTGGAAACTTGAAAGAAATATATATATAGGCTGAAAATAAGCAGTACAGAAGATTTTAAAGATGCAAAATAGGGTTATTTGATAACAAGAAGACCAGGGGTTTGGTGACGTTGAAAGAAGAGTCACAGGGTGATAGGGCCCAAGATTAATTTTGGAAATAATGCTTTCTTTTCAGGTAAGAAGCAGATGTGAATTAGTATAGCAGGAAGAAGGGGAAGGTCACATATTATTGGCATCTCTCTAATCTGTGGAATGGAAGGCAGAGTTACAGTTTTATAGGGTAATTAGTTTTCTTTTCAGCAGTACTAACATCATGTTAAAGGATTTTAGTAACTAGGTACGACGAAGGAACAATATATGGACAAATGTATCACAGATACTGCCTTTATCCACCCAATGCAAGATTTGGGGCTATGTCTCAGGAAGGAGCAAATGCAAAATTAAGATTGACTCACCCAGGAGTATCCATCCTGGATGGAAATTTCTTTTTCAGAGAGATCAAAGAGCTCAGAGATGACCACAAAATATTTCTTTGTAGGACCAGTCACTGCTCTGTTTCAATCAGCTTTTATTGCACCATCATTTCCCTTGCTGTCCCCTGCTGCTCTGTGGAAAAGGGGTCAGGTAGGGCCTCTGCACTAGTGAAGCGGCTGGGATGCAGATACCCTCCTTACCTCAATCTCAGTGGACTGGGGATGAGATACACAGCAGTGGGCAGTCCTGGGACATGCAGGCTGAGCTGAACATTAATCAATAATTAATATGTCGTTACATTTTTTGTATGAACTATGGCACTTTTCAATTCACCGGCTGAATCTAAAAGAAGCCAGTTCCCTCCCCACACACACACAAAAAGCTGAAACCCTACCTGCAGGCACAGAGTGTTACTTTGCGTGGCCACAAGGTGGCAGAAGCTGATCAGCGTTCCTCTACTCGGAAACTCACTAGACCTGTGCTTTAAAACAAGAAATCTAAAAAACAAAACAAAAACACATTACTGCTAATAAATCAGCCTCCCGAACGAAACTCTCAGCTTATTATTGGAATAAAAATAATAGGTAATCTTCAGGGAATGACTTTTGAAGTACTGAGATGTTATGATAGATAATATGTTAAAAAGCGGAGTGATGAGTGGTTTTTCTGTGGTTCCTCCTTCCAGATTTTACCTGATTGGCGGTGGTATCCCTATCATTGTCTGCGGCATAACCGCAGCAGCGAACATTAAGAATTATGGCAGTCGGCCAAATGCACCCTAGTGAGTATTTTATATTCTCTGTGTATTTGACCCAGTTGTTTCTCTTTTAAGTAGTTTCTAGGCATTATAGGTGATTGCAGTTTCTTAAATAACGTGTTGAAACATGAAGCATCGATCTGGTTTACCATATTCTTTTCCAGTTGCTGGATGGCGTGGGAACCCTCCTTGGGAGCCTTCTACGGGCCAGCCAGCTTCATCACTTTTGTAAACTGCATGTACTTTCTGAGCATATTTATTCAGTTGAAAAGACACCCTGAGCGCAAATATGAGCTTAAGGAGCCCACGGAGGAGCAACAGAGATTGGCAGCCAATGAAA